AATAATTTGCTCATTTGACAAATGAGAAAAAAATAATTGCTCATTTGACAAATGAACAAAAAATTGAGGCTCCAAATGAATCAGCTGACTGATAAGGCTCCAAATGTTATACTTTGAACCTGGTCACAGGTCACTGATATCATACGATGAGGTGACTAGTATACTTGAATTTCCATTGCTAGTCTATATTCCTTGGTAATGAACAAGAATGAGATACAATGACCACAAACCAGCATGTGATCCTTGGCAGGATCTAGGGAGATCAGGATAAACATTATGTAAACCAAGCAAGATCAGTAGAGAGGAAGCTAACAAATGTGAAAAAAGAATTATAATGACAGTACGACTAATTCTGGATTTGATTTCTTCGACAAACTCAATTCACATCCTAAATCATACGCTAACACCTCCCTGAACAATCCCTCTTGTTAAGTATGTATAACAAATGTCAAAGTTATGATAGTTTTCAATAGCCACATTGTTTAACAAAGAGCCACACACCTCATACATTGCCTCTGTTAGTACACTTTCCAGTTTGGATCTTAAACCTCTTGCACCAGTATTCTTGACCATTGATTTTTTGGTAATTACTCTCAAAGCCTTTTCTGTAAAGTGAAGTTTCACCTAAGTATTCAAATAACAGATATGCACAAATCAATGCAAGGAAGAATAAGACCATGATTACAAATAATTAACAAGTGTAGCTAGTAAGACTTTCAAGTATGTGCAGACTCTCCGAGAAATTGATACATTATGTAGACATCATCATTCATGGTAACCAATTCATAAGTTCCTTTGGTAAGAGCACACTTTGACTGGGGAAGAACCATCAAGTGGATTCCATATAGGTTCCTTCACCAATGAAGGAACAAATAAGACAATTAAGTTCCTACATTCTTCTAATGTTAATAGCTTAGGGTTTCATCTTTCATAAGTTCACAAATTCATAGCCAAAATATTTTTAATGCTCAAGGTTGTCTTTCACAAGTTCTACACAATTTACTTGCCAAAAGATGGTAACCCCAAAATTAAGAAAAAGCAATGAAAAAGTATTGAATCATAAGAAAATGTAATCAAGGTTTTACATCCTCTCTGATGAACTCCTTAACCTGTGAGATATCACCTGTGAGGCCTGAGGCTTCAGCAAGGGTCACTTTATTATGGCACTAAGAAAACGCAAATGGTTGCCCAGATTCTCTAAGTGTGAATTCACTTGTAATATCGGCATCTGATATCACCGTTCTCGAAGTTCACAATTTGTCACTCAGAGTTAGAGAAAGCATGATTAATTTTAAGTATCTAATGCTTATCTTTTTCTGAAGACAAAAAAAAAAGACAAAATACAAACAACACTTGAGGATACCCTCCAGACTTCAGGAAAAGACAAGGAGAGGTGGCCAAATACAACACTAAGAGGATTGCAAACATATAATTGAAGAATCCCTCGAATAAATAACAATTAAAATCACAAATACACAAACAAATGATCGGGAAAACCCTAAATTTCGCAATCAAAATCAGAAAAAACTTGTTACAAAATTGAAAGTAAATCAAAGAAATATAATAATAATAAAAATCAAATCAGAAAAACTAACCACAATCGCCGTCGCAAGGAACACCAGCGATTCCACGAACATCCGCGAAATCTCATCATTCTCGTACGTCAAATCTATGACATCGCAACAAACCTCGATGCTCACCATCTCACCAACATTAGCCACCTCTTTAAGCTTCATCATCAATTCTTCAATCACCAAAACACCGAATTCTTCATGGTTCCAAACTCGAAACTCAGGGATTGCAAAAACAGGATTTCGGCGTCTAAGAAATCGCTTTTTGTAAAATGCTGATCTTTGATGCGTTGATCGCCGATTGATATTAGGGTTTTGAGAGAAAGAGGGGGAGAATCATATGTTTTGCTGGAAATCCAGAGGAAGATGAGAGAGAATAGCTGTAATTGAGGGAAATTCAGTAATGGTGATGAAGGAGGAGAGAGAAAACGCTGTTTTTTTTTTTTTGAAATTATATTTGACCGGGATAAATGGTAACCATTGGATGCAATTGATCCAACGATTGTAATATGTCCTCACATATACCAGGTTCTCACATAAGGGATGTGTTCTCACATGATCCCATATATATATATATATATATATATATATATATATATATATATATATATATATATATATACCAAGATGAATAATAAGAACTGGGAACCAATCATAACCGTTGATCTGACGGTTCTCATTGCACCCGCCTCATTAAGGGTAAAGTTGTAAATATTCATCTCGAATGACTACCCTATTTTTTGCACAACTTCTTTTTCATTTTCTCTTTCTTCTTCAAACTTTATTTCTCTCTCTTCATTCAAATCTGTAAGGCGATTTTTTTTCCTTCGACTTCACAAATCGAATTTTTCCATTCACCTTCTTCAATTTGTTGTTTCGATTGAATCATGAGAGGTAAGTGTTTTGATTTTGGTTCAGTTTAACAGATTTATTTATGATCAAATAAGTTATTTGATTCGTTTTTCTTTGTTCTTTTTAGTCAATTAGGGTTTTTATTTTGAAATCTCGCTTTTTTTTTTAGTTTGAAATAATTAGGATTTTCGCTATTTTTTGTTTGATTTATTTGTAGTTTTGCGTTTATTAATCAGGTTAACGATTTCTCATTATTTTTTTAATTTTATGTACAACTTTCATTTTTGGTGATAATAATTCGTTTGATTTTTATGTGATTCGAAATTTTCTCTTATTTTCTCAATCGAGGCCTTCATTTTTATCTATTTGAATTAAGTTTGTTTTTTTTATTGCGTTTGATTTCTCCAAATTAGATTTCTTGTTCATGAATTTTTTTAGGGGTTTTATTTACGTTTTATATTATTCTATTTACTTTTAAGCTTGATGGAAAGACTTTTAAGTACATTGGCATATCTCTTCATTCTGTCATAAACAATATAGAATCAACATGGTTACAGGTTTGTGTTGGTTGTCCTGTTCCCTGAATTCCTCTTAACTATTTTGGTATCCTTATTACTATACTCTAAAGAGATGCAATCAAAGTTTTGTGGAATGCACATAACCTGTTTGTTGAAATGCCTCGGTGAACACTTGTGAGAATTGCTTGTATGTTAGGACTGTTTTCCATATGATGGACTTTTAAAAAGCTTGTGAGATAATTCCCCATTTGTTCTTATATTTTTTATAATCCATATGAGAAGAAACTTTCTAGATTTCCCAAAGAAACCCGTTTTGATTGTCGGTCATATGATTTATCTAAGACTAAGTTTATAATTGAGAAATTTTGTGTATATATCTTTCTTTCCAAATCTCATTACACCTTTCGTTGGTGACACCTTTAACAATACTTTGTCACCGACCTCAAATTCCTCCTCTCTACGCTTCAAATCCGCGTAGCTCTTTTGGTGATCTTGCGCCACTTGAATCTTACCTTGAATCTCCTTTACTTTTTAAACTGTATCCTCGATCATTTGAGGCCCTAAAATCATTGTTTCACTTATGTCGTTCCAACAGATTGGACTGCGACACTTCCTTCCATATAATGCCTCAAATGGAACCATGCCAATGCTTGCATGGTAGCTATTATTATAGGAAAATTCAATTAAGTCCAAGCTATCTTCCCATCCCCCTTGAAAATCTATAACACAAGCCCTCAACATGTCTTCCAAGGTTTGAATGGTTCTCTCAGTTTGCCCATTTGTGGCAGGGTGAAAAGTTGTACTCATCTTAAGTGTTGTACCAAAGTTTTCCAAAACCTTAAAAGAAACCTAGAATCTCTATCAGACACAATATCTTTTGGAACTCCATGTAACCTCACCACATTATTTATTTAAGCTTTTGCAAGTTGTTCCATCTTCCGAGTCTCCTTCATTGGTCTAAACACCGCAGATTTTGTAAGTCTATCCACCACTACCCAAATGGTGTCGTTTCCACTATTTGACTTTGGGAGGCAAGTCACAAAGTCCATTGAAATACAATCCCATTTCCATCCAAGAATTTCAACCTGTAAAAAAAGTACGAGTAGCTAAAATCACTAAGACAAATAAATTAAAAAATTCAACCTGTAAATCTCACAAGAATCATCCATAGGACCAATTAGCATAAACTCAAGCTTAAAAATTGTCTTACTGGCAGAACTTGCCCATTCTTATCTCTCGCAACAAATCCCAGCCCATGCTAGCATTGATAATCACTTTAACCCAACCAAGAGTGGAAGGAGACCAACTTAAATTGCTGACTGTATTGTAGGAAGGTGGGGATGATAGACATTCTTAGCATAGCTTAGGTAGTCTGCCATGATTTGTACAAAACCAACTGCAACTTAGACATAACCAGGGGTACTTTGATCAAATACAACCTAGTTTGATTATCTACCATAAACTATTTGATTATCTACTTTGGGAGTAGTTTAGTCTACTTTTATTGATCTCTAGTTTACTTTTAACTGGAATTATGTTCAAGCCACTTAAAAATCATAAAGATTCTAGAATAAAAATTCACCCTACACAACACTTTACACTATTATCAATCTTGCTGCCAGCTTATTCTACACCCTAACCCTAATGCTAACCTACACCACACCACCACAACAACACAGTGTAGTCCACAAGCAGCTATCTTCGTCCCTCGTGGCCTCCTCTAAACCTCAAAACTCCTTGCCATCAATGCCACTACAAAAACCAACACATATCAACAATGTTGCTGCCACTACAACAACCAACACACAAATTCAACAATGCTGCTAGCAGCGCCTCCTACTCTCCTCTCTTCCAAACCACACCACAATCTCCTCCTCGTAGCCCCGCATCGACAAAATATTGCAAAAAAAAAAAAAAACAGAAATTATCAATCAATAGTCAAACAGAAAATATCAAATTGAATCAGAATCTATCAAATTACACTACACTAAGGAAATTAACAGAAAATTTTAGATAAAAGTCGAATTAAAGGAGAAGCATTAAATCGCTGAAAAAAAAATGAAAACGAAAAAACAAATCGGAAAATCGAAACCTAAAATTTGCAAATATATGCTACAAATTAATAGGATTTATAATATGAGTATCGTAGGAAAATAAAATTAAACCCTAAAATTCGATGCAAAATTCACAATGCTTACCTCTATCGTTGAGAAATCTTGCAACGAATTCAGCTCATCATTGAAGATGTATGTAAATTGAAACAAATTCTTGATGTTCAAGTTGATGATTGAAGCGAGGATGCTTGAAAATTACTTGAGTAGAGAGAAAATGGCGTATGAGAAAGAGGAGAGAGAAACGAGTGTATTATCTTATGATATGAGAATTAATCGCAGCTGCCTATTTGTGTTAGATCTGACGGTCCAAAAGAGTTCTTAGTTCCTATTATTCAACTAGTTCTCACCGTAACTTGGTTATATATATATGAGTTGAATCATGTAAAAACCAGCCTTAAGCTGAAAATTGAAAACATGAGATCTTAACCGTAGATTTTAATCTACCACATATTCATCAAATCTTACGATGGGGTTTATTTTCTGTCAATTACAAACAAAAGCGTTTACTTTCTCTCTCCTCCATTATCATGCGTTATTTTCTCTCTCCTCTTTTTTCTCTCTCCTAATTTCTCGATTCTTCTTCTAATTTCATGCTACTTCAAAATCACGATAATGTAATAGCTTCGATTCTTCATCAAATTCGTTATCATTATTGTCTACGATCTAGTATCAAGTAAGTAAATCTGTTTAGGGTAAAAAAGAAACCCTAGACACGTGGCCCTATAAAGGCTTGCCACGTGTCAAACTTGCAACGGTCAGCAAAGGCCCAATCCCTTTGCGACACATGTCATTGTACCCTAATTAAGGTACAGCTCTCCCCTACTATAAATAGTAGGGGCAGACCTCATTTATGGGGATGATCAACATTTCCAACACCCGACGAAACACAAAACCCATTGCAAAACGCTCTCCAATCGAGAAGCATTTATTGCTCTTTATACCTCTTTTGAAAGATTCTAACTTAATCTTCAGAGGCGGAACTCCCACCCCCCAGCCGAAGTCTCCGTTATTTGTGCAGGTACAGGCGAAGGAAGGAGCATACTAGGAAATTGTAACTCTCCCGTAGGACACATAAAAAACCCCCAAACATCTGGCGCCGTCTGTGGGGAGAGTACTTTCTAGATGACTTCAGAACCTGTACTGCCGGGGAAAGGTAGCCAACCTGCTGGTGAGGCTGAGGTCCACTCAGACCAAGATACAATCGACAACTATGAGGTTGAGATTTACACAGCCGCTGATGGTTCTTTTAGGACCAAGCATACTCGTTCCAAAGACAAAAGGGAACGGGCAGAACTGCAGTCGGGCCCTAGTCACCCCACCAGAGGTCCGCTTGGGTTAACCCCTGCTTCAGAAGGAGCCACTCCTGTCTCCAGAGATGAACTCATGAATATGATGATGAGTTTCAAAGGAGAAATCAAAGGCCTCCTAAATAAATCAGCCAGCACCCGCAAGGGGCAGGCGAAGGAAAGACGTCTTGGGAAAAAGACAGCCAAGGCGGTAAAAGATAGAGCACCTACTCCGCACCCAAAGCCAAAGGTGTCGGTTAGGTCCATTGATATCTCAAAAATTCGCATTCCCATGGAGAAGACCAGAAAACCCTTCCGGTACCTACAGCCGGATGGAACAAAGAAGGTGTACTCTGATGTTCGAACTCTCATCCAGGATAAAAAGATTCAGCAACGCTCCGAGTCGACATCGACGTCGACCTTTCAAGACAGCTTCCATATTACATCAGGGAGGCACTCGCGAACAAGTAAAGAGAGTCGGTCAACCGAGGCTTCCGCTCGATCCGGCCCTCATATAATCCAACCGACAGTGCATGGGTCACCATACATGCCCTTTGGATCTCCTTACTCACAGCCGGCCCTATTCGGGGGTCAGCCGCCACCTGTCAGCCTATGGACTAGCAGCTCCGGCTGCTCAACCTTGGGGAACAGCCAACGGCGTTCTCCGGGGAAATCACTGAGATGGCTCAGCCGTCAAAACTCAAAAATGTGTTGGTAGGTGCCTATGACGGCACAACCAACCCAGAAGATCACCTTATGGCATACACCAACCTCATGTATTTGCAGGGTCTGGATGATGCCTCTTGGTGTAGGTGCTTCCCGGCAACGTTGAAAGGGATTGCTCAACGTTAGTTTGGTAACCTACCTGCCGAATGCATCAATAACTTTAGAACGTTGGCATATTGGTTCACGTCCAACTTCTCAATGAACATCCCTGCTAAAAAGACAAGCCTTGATCTGGGGGCAATACAACAGGGGGACAAGGAAGGGCTCAGGTCCTATGTCAGGCGGTTCAATCTGATGAGAATCCAAATCCAGGGATTGTCTGATGACGTCGCCTATACTGACTTCTTCAAAGGTTTAAAGGACGGGTCAACTTTTAAGTTTGACTTGGTTAGAAAGAGGGTCTCTACCCTTCATGAGGCATTAATGAAGGCAGAGGCTTACATACAGGCAATGGAACTTTGTGCTGTTAAACTCCCAATGGATTACAAAAGATCCGATAAAAGAGAAAGCCGGCCTACTCAGCCGGCCAAAAGGGAAGAAAAGAAACAAAAAGAAGTTTGGGCGGCAGAGCCATCCGGACAACCGTTCCAAAAGAGAAAGAGGTCGGATCCGTATGTCCGAAGGTACGAATTCACCAAGGATTGCGCCTCCATTCTCAAGGAGGTTAAAGACCGGTTAAATCTTGAAAAACCGGCAGCAATGAAGAGTCCCGTGAGCAGCCGGGATAAAAGTAAATATTGTCATCTCCACGAAGAGATAAGCCATGACACTGAAGGTTGTTTTAGTCTCAGGCGGCTGTTTGACCGCCTTGCTGATGAGGGGGCTCTAAAATATTATTTTCCCAAATCAAAGGGTACTCCCAAGCAGGTCAAGGGACAACCTCCAAAGACACCGGTAACTCATTCTGACACTGATGAGGAAACCGTCTTAACCATAGCCGGTGGATTTGCGGGTGGTGGTCCTACCATCCGAGGTACCAAGGATAACATAAGAAGGCTGATCAACTCAGTGGATGAGGGTCAGTCGTCTAAAAATTCATTCCCGGAGGTCAATATCTCCGAAAAGGATAGAGGAGAGGTTAGGCGGCCCCACGATGATCCCATAGTCATCGAATGTAAATTTTTCCAACCAACGAGTTGGCCGGATCTTAATTGATACAGGGAGCTCGTCCGACCTCATAAGCTACCGGTGCTTAGAAAAGCTCAAGTACAAGCCCAGTAGCATGATATAGGCTTCATACCCTCTTGTTGGCTTTGGAGGAGGAGTAGTGCATCCGGTGGGGATAGTTGACCTACCCATCCGGTTTGGAGAGAAGGGGAAAGGCCGGCACATGGTTGCCAAGTTTCTTGTTGTCGAGGAACTGACGGCCTACAGCGTGATCATTAGCCGGCCAACCCTTAACATCTCCAAAGCAGTGATCATCCCGTCTCTAATGTTGATTAAATTCGAGAGGGATGATGGCACAGTCGGTTCCTTGAGTGGGGACCAAAAGACGGCGAGAGAGTGTTACCTCTCAAACGTCAAACCAACATTGGTCACAGACGGTCAGGAAAAGGAAATAGTTGAACTTGACGAATGTGATCAAGAAGCACCGGCCCTGAAAGCAGCCGGTAAAAAGAGAAAGGCCGGTGAAATGGCACCCGTTAAAGAAAAACAATAGCAATCACTTTTAGGGGAGAGGTCAGACGACCTTCGCCCCCAGCCGACAAGAGAAATTATTGACATCATCTTCGATGACAGCCGGTCTAACATAACTGTCAAAGTTGGGACGGTTGCTTTTGACAACTTGGGAACCAGCTTGCTCCGACTGCTGAGAGAATTCAAAGATGTGTTTGCCTTTGAAGTGGAAGAAATGCCGGGTGTAAGCCCGGATCTTGCTGTTCATAAACTCGATGTGGATCCTAAAAAGAAGCCGGTTAGGCAAAAGAAGAGGAACCATGGCAAAGAAAGATCTCAGGCGGCAGCAGCTGAGGTCAAGAAACTTTTAGATGCCGGGTTCATTCGGCAATGCTACTACCCGTATTGGGTAGCCAATGTTTTCCTCGTGAAAAAGTCGAATGGTACCTGGCGGATGTGTGTAGATTACACGGACTTAAACAAAGCTTGTCCGAAAGATAGTTACCCGCTTCCAAAGATCGACCACTTGGTAGACTCTACAGTCGGTCATGCTCTGATGAGTTTTATGGATGCTTATTCTGTCTTCCATCAGATACCTTTGTGGAAGAAAGACAAAGAAAAGACAGCTTTCGTCACAGATCAGGGTTTATACTGTTACACGGTGATGTCGTTTGGGTTGAAAAATGCGCCTGCTACCTTCCAACGAATGATAAACTTGGTCTTTTATGATCAAATTGGGAGAAATGTAGAGGCGTACATTGATGACATGATAGTCAAATCCGAGTTACAGGCGAATCATCTATCTGACCTCCGAGAAACCTTCACCACCCTCAGGCGGCATAAGGTCATGCTTGACCCAAAAAAGTGCGTCTTTGGTGTTGAGTCTGGGAAGTTTCTCGGATTTTTGATTGACTAGAGAGATATAGAGGCTAATCCGGACAAGGTACAGGCGGTAATTGACATGCAGTCGCCTCGTACCGTCAGAGAGGCTCAAAAGCTTACCGGTTGTCTGGCGGCATTGGGGAGATTCCTCAGCCGGTCTGGTGACAAGTGCCTTTATTTTTTTCAAGCAATCAAAAAGAGGTCCAGGTTTGAATGGGGTGAAGAGGCTGAGGCGACATTCCGGAGGCTGAAGCAACACTTGCATTCTTTGCCAAGATTAGTGAGTCCCCTACCCCAAGAGGCCCTCTATATGTACCTAGCCGTCTCGGATCATTCTTTAAGTGTCGTTCTCCTTGCTGAGAGAGACGGCAAATAGCTCCCGGTTTATTTCATAAGCCACGTTCTCCGAAATGTTAAACTTCGATATCCCATGATTGAAAAGTTTGGTCTGGCTTTATACAAAGCGGTCAAACGGTTGAAGCCTTATTTCTTGGCTCATTCGGTTACCGTCTATACTGATCAACTGCTCAAACGACCAATGACCACGTTAGAGTCATCCGGGAGAATGATTAAATGGGCAGTGGAAATTCAAAGTCTAGAGATAACTTTCGAGCCCAGGCGGGCAGTGAAAGGTCAGGCGTTTGCCGACTTCATTGTCGAAATGACTAGGCCGGTACACCCGAATAATACTGATCAAGTATGGAAGGTGTATGTAGACGGGAGTTCTACCATGAATGGTTGTG